AAAAAGAATTCAGCTAGACAAGTATCTGGTTTAATGTTTATTAAGTGTCCAATAAATAATTGAAAAGTTTGATATTACTAAAACTTCAATTATGTTATTAAATGACATTAAGAAATAAATTTCTAATGCATGACATTCTTCTCAATTTTGTTTATTTACCTTACAAATTTTCAGTTGAGGACTATTTTACTTTACAAAACTATAAAAAATTTTAAGTGTACAATTAAAGATGTCTTATTTATATTGTAAGATATGTTTCTTTTAATAACTGGCTTAACAAAGGTGATAATTTGACAGTATTGTAATTAAAAAGTTAGGTCAATATGTAAAATTAGTCAATAGAGGTGGGTTAAAAATTCCTTTTGACAATACTGTTCAATGGGTTTTCTTCTCAATTATACACTTTTACTTTATTAAAGGTAAAGTTTGTCAGGCATCTCTGTACAACATTTTTTTCTTTATATTTTTATGCATTACTCTTTTAAAATGGAATAACATCATGGCAACCCAGTAAGCAGAAGGCATATTTAAAACAGCTAAAACAAATATTAAAATGTATTAATATGTTTTTTAGACATATTAAACTTATATTGTGCTTACTAGGAATATTCTGTCTGAAATTTTTTAAATCAAAACCACTACAAACATTCTACATCACAATCAAACAAAGAACGAACTTTTTTATGATTTTTAAAGGAATCTTTATTTCTTTAAGGTAATATAATATACTTTGATTTAAATAGTTCTATTTATACCTGATTAAAAACCTGTTTAATTTTTTTAATTAACAATTTTACAAATTGAAACAATGAAATAAAGTGAGTTATTAGAAGTTTGAAAAAATTTATAAATTATCTTTATAAATTTCTATTCTTTAAAATATTATTGTATTTTTCAGATATTTAATAACAGAAAATGTTTAAAGCATGATGTATTTTAAAACAAATAATATTTGTTTATTTTGATCAAATATCAGCCGTCACATTTTTTTTCACATGTCACTCTTGTTTCACATGTCACTCACTTAGCATCAGATTACTTTAATTAATTTCTAGTAAAAAAAAAAATAATATACTCGAGTATAAAGTTAGTTAACTAGTTGATTTTCAAATTGCTTCAAGGTATAAAATTGTTTGACCTTTAACTTTTTAAATAAATATTAAGAGGTTCTCATGGAATAGAAATTCTCATGTTCATTGGTGAGAAAGTTTATTGGTGGTACCCAGAATCTTTTTTTTTTTTTAAGCATCAAATTTGTTGCAAGGTGAACTAAGACTTCAAATGGCCATTGCAACTCTCTAGAATACTCAAAGTTTACACTGATTCATTGATTTAACTTTATTCTAAGATTAAAATCAGTCAGTATGACAGAAACCTCATAAAGCTGTCAGATGCAACCTATATTTGCAGGGATTATCTTTTTCCGGATATTTCCGGAATTCCAATTATTTAATTCTGGATATTTTCCAAAATTCCGGATATTTTTCTCAACTTATAGTTTTTCTGAATATTTAAAACGTTTTCCTTACATTTAAGTTTAGGTATATATTTTTATAATATATTTGTTTTTTAAGCTTTTTCACTCATCATTCATACAAAAATGATAAAAAGTTAGGAAAAAATAATTACAAAACAACTCAGCTAAAAGCAAATTTTAGAAAAAAGTATATTCCAGATTTTTAAAATACGACTTGGTTGATCTATGTATTTGAATCTGCAAAAGATCTGACACAGTCAAAACCTGTTTTTTAGTTTATAAAAAACATTAATTCGAAAAAGTACTTTTATTGTTTTTACGAATGTATTATTTAATAGAAAGTTAATGTTGCAAAAAAGTATGGTTTGAAAGTCCTTCGATATAAGCACTCCTCATATGTGAAAATGCAAACTATGCAATAGTTTAGTTACAGATGATTAGATTACAATAGTTTAGATGAACAAATCTTAAGACTTATGGAACTTTAGAAATAGTTTTTGTACTTGTAGCACAAAGAAGGTTATATTTATTTGGTTTTTTTGGTTGTGTTAGCTGTGTTAATATTTCTGCTTACACAAGCAAACAATTCAAAGAAAAGTGTGAATTAAAAAAGTAAAAATGCAGGCAGGAGAATATTAGAAAAATCAATTGTGAAAATATGAGTGAAAATTTAAAGCAAAATAGAGTAGAGAAAAAAAGACCCTTGCATTTAGTTGTGACTCTTAAATATAGAGGTGGATAAGCGATAGTGAGATTTTGTTTTTTAACTGATTTTGGAGATCTTGTGGAGATTGAGAGCATAGTGAGAGTTATTGTTAAAAAGTATTAGGTAAAATAAAATTTCAAATTTTATTCTATCTTGAAATGTCCTGTTTACTAATTAATCTTGAATTTGTATTCATGAATGGTCTAAATAAGTTTTATACTCTGTAGGCTGGAAAGCATAGAACCAGCACTAATATAAAGTATTATTTTTGTTATATAACATTCTTGGCTTGCAACCTTAATATACTATTTTTACTATAATTCATTGTTGGCTTTCAATACAAATATAAAATATTATTTTTACTATAAAACATTTTTGGCTTGCAATACTAATATAAAGTATTTTTACTATAAAACATTATTGGTTTACACTTAAATAAGAATTAGTTTCTTTATTTTACTTTAATTACATTTGTTGATAACAGTAATTTTTTTTTTTTATATATAAAATCAATTGTATTTATAATCTTTTGTAATAGTTTTATAATAGGATTTAAAAAAAAACAGTTGTATACCATTAGAGAAGTAATTATCTTCATTTATTCTACTATTTTATTTTGCTCTGTTTCAAAACAAACTTTATTTTGCTCTGTTTCAAAACAAACTTAGGCCCTTTTGCCAAATGTTAAAGTTTGTTCAAATGTAAAAATTTGTTTTTCAAAATCTAGCTATATATTTTTATATGTTTTTTAAAAGAGATACAATGTATAAAAGATGTTTAGAAATATTTCTAAAATTGCAGAAAGATGTCTAAACAAATAACTAGAAATGATACTAGATAGCCACAAATAATGTCATATTGCTCTTATTAATTTTTGATACTTAACTCGATTCTCTTGAGTACTGTAGAGTAAAGTTTGTACTATTTATGACTTATAAATTGTATGTAATCTATTGATTGAAATTTTTTTGAGTTTTAATTCAAATTATTGTTTTTTAGTTGAAATTTTTGTGCTTTTTGAGATTAACTAATTAAGGTATGAATTTGGAAAGTTTGAAGGGTTGTTTAAAACTTTTTGTTTTTTTCAAATCTTCTTAATTGAAAGTGTGGATTTATATTCTTACCAATTTGAATTTATATACAATACTCAACCTTGTTACCATTCAGATTCACCTGTCACCAGATGAAGAAATGTTACTGAACAAACTGAGAATAATCCAGTTCGTGGGCTGCATTCTGATGATGACCTTTTTACCATGCTATGATGTCGAACTCATTACTACTCGGTAATTGTAGTGTACAAGGCCCAGGAATGACCTAAAGACTCTGTATTCTGTTGTTTTTTTAGGTTCTTGGAGGTTGCTCTTTTGCTTCAGGGCCTAAATTTTTGTACTAGATGATTAAATTAGAGCTGATTTCTGTTACTTATAATATTTACCTGTAACCCAAACAGGTAGCCAATAACCAGCATAATTTTTCTCATCAATCTGCAAAAAATTTTCCTGATATTACCACACATGTGTTCCAGCTAAAGCTTAAGAAATTCATTTAGGAAATCAAAGATATATGGGTGCTGGGATTTCAAATTGCCAGAATTCAAGTAATTGAATTCCAAAAGAAAAGACATGAAAAAAAGAGGATAAAAGGTTCTAAAAAAGAGGACAAGAGATTCCACATGTACATATACTTATCTTGATTCACAAAGATGAGCTGTTTTACTTTGATAATTTCTTATCTAAATCTTTTTTAATTTAATTAAAAACTGATAACAGTATGCATGTGTTAAGATAATAAAATAAGGATTGAAGATTTGGTCGGAAGTGCTAAATAAAAAAATTATTACATTTTAATGTAAAAACTTTAGACCTGAGTCATGACATATATATATATATATATATATATATATATATATATATATATATATATATATATATATATATATATATATATATATATATATATATTATATATATTATATATATATATATATATATATATATATATATATATATATATATATATATATATATATATAATATATATATATATATATATATATAATATATTATATATATATATATATTATATATATATATATATATATACATATATATATATATATATATATATATATATATATATATATATATATATATATATATATATATATATATATATATATATATATATATATATATATATATATATATATATAAAGCAAAATTTTATAAAAATTTCAAAAATAATAATTTTTTCATAGGAAAATTATTATTTTAGATTTTATTGCTATAAACTATAGTTATTATAACTATAGTTTTTTAACTAAAAGTGAAAAAGGTGCATTTTTACATGTTTTTTAATAACAATTTTTTTCGGCAATATGATTTTTATAAAACGATTATTATTTTCGAATTTTTTATAAAATTTCGCTTCTTTTGAGTACCAGGTTGACCTACTTTTGAAAAACTTTTTTTCTCCAAAATATTAGGGTACCGGTAATTTTCTCAATAAAGTTGCGCCCTTTAAATCTATCACAATCATTCTCATATTTGATAGTATCAATATTAATAACTATTAGCAATGTTTAGAGCCTGTAACAAGAAAAAAAAATTTTATGACCCACCCTAATATATATATATATATATATATATATATATATATAAATATATATATATATATATATATATATATATATATATATATATATATATATATATATATATATATATATATATATATATATATATATATATATATATATATATATATATATATATATATATATATATATATATAATATGTATTTTTTATTTTTAGGGGGTGCAGCTAAAGGTCGAGGTCGAGGCAGCATAAACAATGGTAAAAACCCAGAGAAAAAAAGTATTGTGGCGGATCGAGTACTTTCTGCAAATCGAAATAAAACACGAAATTTGCATAATATTATTGCACAATTGCAACAAGAAATTAAAGATTTATCTTCTGAAAATAGATATTTGCAAAGATCAGCAAAGCTGCAGGATCGTGAAATTCGTAAGTTAGATAATGCTGAAGCAGAACTTCCTTTACTTTTAAAGAAACACAGTAATGAAATAAATGCTATGCAGGAGAGGTATAGGCGTATGAAAGAAAAAGCAGAACAATATAGGAGTTCTGCAAAGAAACAAGAAGAAATTTTATTGAAGACACAAGAATCGTTGAAAAAGTATGAAGCAATTGTAAAAGATAAAAAGCTAGATGAACGATATGCTTTACAGGAAAAGATAAAAAATATGGAAAAAGAATCAGAAGATAAAGATAAAAAAATCTCAGTTAGTTTTTCATTCTTTGCTATACTTTAAATTTTTATTTGCAATCGTAGTTATGTTTTATAAGCTTGTTGTTTACTTTTCACTGCTAATGTTTCTTTTTCTTTCACTTCTATTGTCTCTTTTACTGGTACTTTTACTGCTTTTTTTACTGTTACTAAATTTATTACTTATACTACAACCTTTTTTTGTTACTGTTGCTTTTACTCTTCGTTTTACTTTTACCGTCTCTTTTTCTGTTACTTTTATGAATACTTTTTACGTCTTTGCTTTTATTAATTCTTATCAAAGTACCTTTATAATACTTAGGAACTATCTCGTATGTTGGCTATTACTAAAAAAAGTCACATTAGAGAAATAAAGGAAATTAGTGAAAAATATAAAAAAGTATTGGATGACTTGCATCGATCAGAAAATGATTGCGCTGAACTTACTCGTAAATTGAAGGTTTGAGTTTTATTATGTAACTTTTTAGTGATTTTGTAGATTAAAAATTTATATTCATATTTTGTATTAAAAAAGTAGTATTTAATTTTTTACTTTTTTACAATTTTATATTTAAAATATTTTTAGGAAAAAGAAAAGCTGCTAGAGCTAACAAACATATATTCTCTGCGGGTTAATCGTCGTAGTAGTAAAGAAGAAGAAAGGGTTATGATATTTTCCCCTACAGAACCGGTCCCCCCGGCTATAAAACGCTATCAAGAAGAGCAACAACAGAAACATGAAGAATCTGAGACTTCCCGTGAATCAAATGCTCCCACAAAAGATTCATCTCAACGGCGAGCTAAACAAAAAAAAAATCACGCTAAACTTATAGCTAAAGAAGAATTTGATCAAGACAAATCAGATAATGAAATTGGAAATAATTTAAAATGCGAAATAAAAAAACACGAAGGTCCAGAGTTATATTCAGAAGGTCAAAAGACAGAAGAAGAACCTGACCTAAGGATTTCAGAAAAAAAAAAGCTAAGAAAAGAAAACGATCGTAAGAAAGAAGAAAATTTAAAATTAGAACAAGAAAGAATAAACGAAGCAAAAAAACTTATTTTCGAGGATTTAGAATCAAAGGACATTAAAGAAAAAGAGGAGGAGCGAAAAATAAAAGAGGAAAAAGCGAAAATAGAAGAAGAAAACAAGTATTTGCTTCAAAAGTTAAAAGAAAATGAGGATTTAGAAAAGCAGAGAAAAAAAGAGCTTTTGCTAGCCCGAATGAAAGCCATTGATTTAGGCATGCATTCTGATGATTTCAAAGATGAATCTCATAACGATTTAATAGCTAAACCGACAGAGGTAAAGAAGAAAGAAAAACCAATTTTCTTACAAACTAATTCTCCGAATAACGAAAAAAAATATTTTAGTTCTAGTGATAAACATTTAGAAGTTGAACACGAGAGACCCTCAAATCATCATAAGCCTGAAAGAAAATTGTCATGGGATTTTAAGAAAACAGATGAGAATTTGCATAAAGGTCTGCCTGCACACTTTGATTCAGATTCACCTGTCACCAGACGAAGAAATGTTACTGAACAAACTGAGAGTTATCCAGTTCGTGGGCTGCGTTCTGATGACGACCTTTTTACCAATGCTGATCAACGGGCAAATGGCAAACGTCATAAAATTAACAATGGCATGAGAGAAGATTCATTAGAAGAGTTTCCTAAAAATAATACATTAAAAAAAAACTCTCCATTTGATATGTTTGATGATCCATTTAATGCAAAAAAAAAGAATACTTATGAAAAAAAACAAAATTTACTGAATAATTCAGACGATGAGCTAAATAACTATTCTAGTTACCAGCCAACGATTTCTAATAAACCTATGTCAAGACAGCAACGACATACAAACAAGTTGAATTCTGATCGATCTGATAACTTTATTGCTAATCTTGAGGAATTAATTTTAATTTAAGTTTTTACTTTTTTAAATGTGGATATAGTTAGTTTTTCAAGGGAGAAATTGTTCAATTAACAATAAAATTGGAAATTGTTTCCACAAAACATAAGGTAAAATAACAAAAAATGGTGAGGGTGAGTTTAACTTCCTCCTCTACTATCCAATTTTTCTTATTATCCACATTTCTGGTTTTCATCGCTGCACGAAAATCGTTTTTTTTTATATAAGATAACTTTTTATAAGTTTATGTATATAAAACACTCACACACGTGTTTGTGTGTGTATACACACACACACACACACACACTCACTCACTCACTCACACACACACACACACACACACACACAAACACGTATGAATGTATATATATATATATATATATATACATATATATATATATATATATATATATATATATATATATATATATATATATATATATATATATTTATATTTATATTTATATATGTATTTATATATATATATATATATATATATATATATATATATATATATATATATATATATATATATATATATATATATATATATATATATATATATATATATATATGTATGTATAAATGTATATATGTTGAATTAGTAAAATTTATTTTCTGTCGAAGTTATAGTATACGCATTGCTTTTTTATAACTTTTCTTTCGTAACTTATACATTATACATTACAATATTATCATATAAATTTTTAACAAGGCATATTAATTTATATAAATTTATATCTATATATATTCAAAAATTTATCTATCTATATATATTCAAAAACAGAAAATATTAAAGTATTCAAGACTATTTATTTAAAAATTAGATTCCGAATGTTTCCTTTTTTTTAGTATTAGCGAAGATCTAGCATAGTCGGATGCAGATTTTCCTCGTAAACGGATTGGGACCATTAAAAAACAATAAATAGTAAAGAAAAGTTAAAGATATCATAAACTTTTGCTTGTAGAAATTCGTTTACATTTTCATAAACAGGGGTTGACGCAAGTTTTTAGTTTACCTCATCAAAAAAAACGTAACTACTTCCGCTGTGTAAATTAAAAATATCAGGAGGGGTGGGTGGGTGGGAGGTAGTGAAAGTAATTTTCTTGTTTTTGGAATTGCAGTGAGAAACCCATATCCTAGTTGTACTTGAACTTACAAATTAAATAGAAATATAGCATGACGCAATTAATTTTGGCCTGTTTTCAGTAGACACAGAAGATATTTAAAAAAAAAAAATTTGAAACGCTACTTTTGGTTTAAACTGGTTAAACATTGCGGTTGGTTTTGAATTAACCAAACAATTTTAAATCTTTTCAGAACATTCATAAGCCATGCTTATAACATGATTGACGTTGAAAATCAAAATCACTTAATAAAGTACCCTACTCAGTGCCTCATTTAAATTCTTTTCAGTCGAGTTTTCCAATAAACAATTATTTATGAAACCAAGTATAGATTTTCTTATAATTTAACAAAAATTTAAAAATTATCGTAAACAAGAATTATTTGAAATTAATTTTTAGTTAACGAACTGAACTTCCCGAGCTTTTTTTTGCCAAAAAATCGTTAATGATTTCGCGGTGCTTTGTATTACAAAGTATTGTAGGTAAGAATAGAACGCGAAAAAAAATATCGAAGGAAAAGTGTTTTACTAGTCTAAATTTGACATCTTTCCTCCTGAAGTCTCTATGTCTCTGGGGGCCCTTATTTTGAAAAAGTCCGGGTTACCCTCCCCAAAATCCAACTTACTATGATTAAACAAAAACTTTATTATCCAATTTTCTCATCCTACAAAGTATAATTTACATTACATTAATCCGCGTGTGGAAACGCTTTTTCCGAAAATATATTAACTTAATATGACAGTCGATATTTGTCAGCGTGCAAATTAAAAACTAAGACTAAACTTGAAAAAACTATGGTGTGAATAATAAAACTTGATGGGATTAAAACTCATATCCAAGTTCATATTTTAAAAATTTACCATAAAGGAAGTTATTATTTATTAAGTTCGGCTAACCAAGTAAGATTTTTATTTTTTCAAATATAATTTTTATTAACTATAAATGGCAAACAAAGCAATAACTAAATATAAATATTTGTTACTTATTTTTCTTTAAATCAGCATGCTTTTTAAAATACTTTCAGCGGCATTAATTTTTAAATAATCACAAACATCTAAAAAGACATTTCCTCGGCAATTTTATTATGAAAACATTACTTGAAATAATATACTTAAACTACATGTTCAGAACCACAAAAGCATAACCTAGAGCCAATGCTAACGGGTGACAACTAAAAAACAAGACTGGATTTAAAGATACATATCTCTTTAAAAAAATAAGATAAAACAAAAAGGAAAAATGTTCTAGAATATATTTTTATTCTACTTTTTAAATATATAATCAGTTGTTCTCAATTAAACCATTTCTTCTGACTTTATCAACTAGGCCTTGGATAGACTGAGCTAGTCTTCGTATGAGTTCAGTATCAATTTTATTAAGGCAATACTTGATTCTAGAACGTAATTTTTCAAGATTTTCTGCATGCCAATTATTCTTGTAGACAAGGCCTTTCAAAATACTCAAAAAATTTTCGATAGGGCGACATTCTGGCAAGTTTGCAGGGTTATCCACTTTCTCAACATAATGCACGTTTTCCTTGTTTAGGTACATAATAACTGTTTTTGCATAGTGAGATGATGCTAAATCTTGCCATAATACATATGTATTATCTGAATGATACCTATTGATGAATGGAATAAGTCTCTTTTTAATACATTTGTTTAAATAGATTTTTTGGTTTACAGCCAGTCCACTTGGTACAAAATAAGGTTGAGAAATTCCATTGTCAGGAAAAGCAATCCATAAAAGTAATTTCTTTTGAAACTTTTTTTTTGTTTGGTATTTATCTGTAGATGGAGTAGATTTTACATCAATACTATAAAAATCATTTTCATTGATACTGGAGTGATTTAAAGTGAAATAAGACTCATCGCCAATGATTAGTTTACGGTTTTTAAATTTCTGATACAATCGGCTGCACTTAGTTCTAGCTACTGCTTTTTGCTAGTCAGAGCGTTTTGGAATTGTCATTTTTTTTCTTGATTTAATATTTGTTCTTTTTTTTAATGTTTTACTAATGTGTTGCTTAGTACAGTTGAACTTTTTAGCTGCCTGTCGTTGAGAAACTCCGTCTTTATGGTCAAACATGAGTTTGAGCATTTCAATGTTTGTCCTGGTCATTTTTTTAGCTTTTACTCCACTTCTTTGATTTCTTTGGTATCCAGATTCACTTTCAGCACGTTTAATTATCTTGTAGATAGTACTTTTAGGTATATTCTCAACTTTAAAGTGGTTATAAGTGAACTTTTTACCAGCATTTTTGTAATTTGATATAAAATTCATACACACGTTTTCTAATTTCTTCTTGTTTTGAATTTATTTTTTATTCATTTTTCTATAAAAATAAAAACACATAACAAAATTTAAAAACTAGAACACCTTCTAAAACAGTTTTTCTATTTTTAAAATCTTATTCCTTTAAGGAGATATGTGTCTTTAAATCCAGTCTCGTTTTTTAGTTGTCACCCGTTATAAACAACTCATCCCTTCTAAAAAATCACATCACATATATAAAAAAAAACAACTTAAAAAAATATTTTGAACTTAAAAAGGTATTGTTCATAGCCTCTCCGAACTTATCTAACTAAATTCTACCATTACATCTAAGACAGATATTGCAATCATCAGACGCTCTGAAAGGGTAGAATGGACAATAGTCTTCCAGCACTAACAAGGTGTGCTCGCACTACTTGTCTGTTCTTGCAAGAGACCATCCGTATTTGTGAACACTTAAAAAAATACATTAGAACCTTTTGGCATGACATTTACAACTAAAGACTCTTTAGTTGTAAGTGTCATGCTAAAAGTCTTTTGTGTAGTAAAACGCCCTGTACTATAATATATAATATTATTACAGAAGCAAGCAGGAAAATAAACACTAAAAGGAAGCGTTTGCTGATCCTGATGATTATGAAAAATGTGTCTTTTCAAAATCATCTAACCAACAAACAAAAAATAAATGAAATAACTGTAAGTTTAATTATTTTATAATTAAATGTGCAAATTTTACAGAATAAATTATATTTTCATATTTACTGTTATATATGTAATATATATATATATATATATATATATATATATATATATATATATATATATATATATATATATATATATATATATATATATATAACCATGTCTTTAGTAAAGACATAGTTAATTGCAATAGAAAACTGAACTCTCTAACAAAAACATGAGACAGCTTACATCCACGTTAAACAAGTCAACTGGTTTTTTTCTTGTTGAGCCACGCTTCAAAACAAAATTTGATGCAGCCGGTAAAGCACTCTCAAACATTTTTGATTTGTCCAACTTAAGTATTGAAATCAAGAAAGGAAAACTATAGCAGGGAAGAGATGTTGTTCATTTCAAAAATCTTCACGATTTAACAAATCGAATTCTCCATGTATAGAATACTTTCCTCATCACCTTGTCAAAATCTTAATTGATGTTTGAAAAATTTTTTCTAAAGTTTAGCCTGGGAGTCATCAGCACTATATATATAGTGCTGTAATATATATATATATATATATATATACAGGGCCGGCGCGAGTAGGCGTCACGTGGGGGGGTGCCATTACAACTTTTGCCGACTAAAAAAAAAAAAAAAAAAAAAAGGTCATGACGACATTTGCCGACTGTCGAACCTATATCGAAAGGGGGTCCACATTTGCCGACTAACTAGGTCCAATTTGCCGACTAAGGGTCCAATTTGCCGACTAAGGGTCCAGTTTGCCGACTAAAAATCATTGATGGGGGGGGGGGGGTGTCACACCCCCCTATCGCGCCGGCCTTGTATATATATATATATATATAAGGCCGGCGCGATAGGGGTGTGGGGGGGGGGGTACATACAGCCTGCATTCTTTAGCAGAGAAAATTTAGCAAAGACATCTGCAATATGCACATGATCGTCTTTGTATATCAGGAAAGTAAAAAATATTACACTCTACTTTTTCTTTCAATAAATTATTAATCAAAATATTTGCATTTATTTCTTAAATTTTGCAAAAAAGACTAATGTCGAGTTGTTAACGGCACATCGGACTAAACAGAAATCTCGAGGATTTAATGCTTTGGTTTTTAATTTTTCTTTATATTTAAATGTGCAAATTTTACAGAAAAATTATATTTTTGTTATATATATATATATATATATATATATATATATATATATATATATATATATATAACTGTTATATTT